ACATACACTCAATTGCATTACATTACATAAAAATACATTACATTATATACATTACACTGGACTGCATTGCATCGCATTGCATCGCATTGCATCGCACTGCATTGCATAAGATGATGACATAACATAACATACAGAACATACATGCATGCATGCATGCAGACAGACAGACAGACACATACAGACATACAGACACCCAGACACACATACACACATACTGACATACACACGGACACGCATACACACCTACACAGGTACACACGTACACACATACACGATCATACACGTATACATACATCCATACATGCATGCGTGCATGCATGCATTGCATGCCTTACATGCATTACATACATTGCACACAGTACATACATTACACATAGACATGCAGTGACATACAGTGAAATACATACATACCTACATACATACGTACGTACGTACGTACGTACATACGTACGTACGTACGTATTTACATACACACACATACACACATACAAACATACACACATACACACATACACACATACACACATACACACATACATACATACATACATACATACATACATACATACATACATGCATACATACATACATACATACATACATACATACATACATACATACATACATACATACATACATACATACAAGGGGCTCCGCCCCCTGCCGCCGACCCCTGGGCTGAGCCTGCGATCAGCTTCACCATGGCCCTGAAGCACACACACACGCACATATATATATATATATATGTGTGTGTGCCAAACGTTACTTTCTGAACCAACTAGAAACTAGCTAGCTCCAAACCTTGACTTTACCTGCGTTTCTGCACTGCCAATTCTGCACTGCCAACTGCCACCCTGCTCGTGTCCTCCTGGCAGGCCCGGGTCCAAGGACCCTGTCGCAGGGCTAAAACACCATGGCACTGAAGGACGGATTGGGCCCGCGGCCCGTAGCCCAGACTGCCAAACGTTACTTTCTGAACCGACTAGAAACTAGCTCCAAACCTTGTCTTTACCTGCGTTTTCTGCACTGCCCTGCTCGTGTCCTCCTGGAGCTGGCTTTCGTTCTGCCCAGCTCCGGTCCAGGCCCGGGGTCCAAGGACCCTGTCGCAGGGCTAAAACACCATGGCAGTGAAGGACGGATTGGACCCGCGGCCCGTAGCCCAGACTGCCAAACCTTACTTGCTGAACCGACTAGAAACTAGCTAGCTCCAAACCTTGACTTTACCTGCGTTTCTGCACTGCCAACTGCCACCCTGCTCGTGTCCTCCTGGAGCTGCCGGTCCAAGCTGGAGTCCAAGGACCTTGTCGCAGGGCTAAAACACCATGGCACTGAAGGACGGATTGGGCCCGCGGCCCGTAGCCCAGACTGCCAAACGTTACTTTCTGAACCGACTAGAAACTAGCTCCAAACCTTGACTTTACCTGCGTTTCTGCACTGCCAACTGCCACCCTGCTCGTGTCTTCCTGGAGCTGGCTTTCGTTCTGCCCAGCTCCGGTCCAAGCTCAACTGCCACCCTGCTCGTGTCCTCCTGGAGCTGGCTTTCGTTCTGCCCAGCTCCGGTCCAAGCTGGAGTCCAAGGACCCTGTCGCAGGGCTAAAACACCATGGCACTGAAGGACGGATTGGGCCCCCAGACTGCCAAACATTACTTTCTGAACCGACTAGAAACTAGCTCCAAACCTTGACTTTACCTGCGTTTCTGCACTGCCAACTGCCACCCTGCTCGTGTCCTCCTGGAGCTGGCTTCTGCCAACTGCCACCCTGCTCGTGTCCTCCTGGAGCTGGCTTTCGTTCTGGCCAGCTCCGGTCCAAGCTCAACTGCCGCCCTGCTCGTGTCCTCCTGGAGCTGGCTTTCGTTCTGCCCAGCTCCGGTCCAAGCTGGAGTCCAAGGACCCTGTCGCAGGGTTAAAACACCATGGCACTGAAGGACGGATTGGGCCCGCGGCCCGTAGCCCAGACTGCCAAACGTTACTTTCTGAACCGACTAGAAACTAGCTCCAAACCTTGACTTTACCTGCGTTTTCTGCACTGCCAACTGCCACCCTGCTCGTGTCCTCCTGGAGCTGGCTTTCGTTCTGCCCAGCTCCGGTCCAGGCCCGGGGTCCAAGGACCCTGTCGCAGGGCTAAAACACCATGGCAGCCCTGTCCATCGGATATTGATCCTAATCAATAAGTTTTTGAGCTTATTGATTCCTTGAAAAAATCAACAGAAAATATTGATTTCATAGGGTTTTCAAATCAACAGAATATTGATTTTTAAAATCAATATTTCAACCAAAAAAACAACAGAAAAATCAACAGGAAAATCAACAAGAAAATCAATATGAAAATCAATATTTCTAGGAAAAAAATCAACAGGAAGCCACCCAGGAAACCACCCTTTTTTGTCCCACAGAAGAGCCACTTGTGGGCTTAAGGCACACACCTTTTGTCAAGGTGCACCCATGTTGTTTTATAAAGGAAGCTCTGCAAGCCTTGTGTCAAGGCTAGCCTCTTGCCAAGGCTTCTTGTTGACCAAAACCCTTTTGCCAAGGGAGTTCCCACAAGGAAATTCCTTTTTGTCAAAGGGAGATGCCAGGATCCTTTGGTCAAGGTGTGCCTGGTAGACATGGAGCTGACCCTTTTGCCAAGGAAAGATTTTTTGTGAGCAGGGTGAGCAAGGATAAACCCTTTTGTCAAGGTATTTCCATGCTTGGCTCCCAATGTGCATTGTCAAACCCCAGCCTGTCGAGCTGGAGGTGCAGGAGCACTTGGTATTTGTCATTGATTTTGGAGCACAGCCTTGTAGACTTGACTCCATGCACCACACTGGATCCCAAAGTGCTCATCCTGCCCACAAAATCTTCTGACCTAAAGTTCCAGCAACACCTGGGGTTGATATCACAGGAGCTCTTGACCATGTGACCACAGGTGTGAAACTTCATGGTGATGTGGAACAAATATCTGTCAGCTTCTTCTGCCCACTCATTCAGCCAGGAGTAGCTGGAAAAGAATTGCCTGGCTAGCTTCCTGGCCTGGCCATATGTCCTTTTGTCAAGGAACATCCCAGCATCATCAAAAAGCTGGATCAAATCAACCATGCTTGACAGAGCATGCACCATATGTTGGTGCACCTCATCTGTTGAATCAAGCATGGCTTTGATCACAGGCAGAAGAGCAGGCATGAAATGCTTGCACTCTGCTGCTTTGCAGTCCAGCTTTGGGTATTCCTTGTGTGGACTCTTCACATCACAAACCATGGAAAGCTTTAGGTTTGTGAGCCTTGTGGGTCTTTTTTGCTTTTTGTATTGGTCCTGGACTTGGGAAAATATAAGTGCTAGCCTGTCACTTGGTCTGATGGATTGCTTTCCTTTTCCATCGAGGTAACACAAGAAATGTAAGATGCTGCCACAAAGGTGTGAGCAGACACCCTTTGCAAACAAGACATGGAGGCCATCATGCCTCACCATCTTGGTGCTCAAGCCTTCAATTTGGAACAGGGGGTGCTGTTCCATGCCTTTTGTCAAGGCTTCTGCATGGCTCAAGCATTCAAAGGCCTGCTCTTCTTCCTTCAGCAACTTAAAAGATTTTCCTTCAGGGCATGGCACCCCTTTTGTCAAGGGTTGCTGGCAGTCACACTCCCAGCAGGGAAACTTGCTGTTCCAATGAGGGAGGCCCAGCACCAGGCTGTACATCTCATGGTCCCCTTGGATGGACCACACCACACCTCTGAAGCCTTGAGGAGTGAGTGGTGTTCCAGCCAGTTTTTCAAACATAGACCCTTTTGGCAAGGGCTCATTGTCTGGCCCAACACAGGGGTGAAAGCCACCTTGCAAACTTTCCAGTGACCATTTGATGTACTTCATGATGGGTGTCCAGGTCGACTCCATGGTGCAAGACTTTGGAAAGGCACAGATCAGCATGTGGCTTTGGAGGCTGCTGAACTGTGAAAGCAACCCTCCCCAGTTCCAGCACATGATAGTGTCCCTGGTCTGGAACTCCACACCATCTGCATGAATGAACAGTGGCACTGTTCTTTCAGCATTCACCACATGCCTTTTGGCAAGGCCTTGCCTTTTGTCAAGGCAGATGGGGTGGCCTTGCAGCCTCTCATCCTTGACTGCTTCCACATTTTTCCAGAATGCTGCCAGCTCAGAGCATTTAAAGATTTTCTCAAACTGCTCTGAGTAGGATGTAGCAAGGTCTGCAAAAAGCAGATGTGGCAAGTACAGGGAAGCAGTTTCAACTCCCACCTTTGAAGTCTTTGGGTCCCTGACCTGCACATCTACTTCATAGGCTTTGGTCAATGCATTGCTCTTGCAATGTGTTGACATGAAGTCTCTGTGGCAGTTGCCACTGGCCTCGCCCCAGTTGCCAGCAGATGCCATCTGTATCAATTCCTCATGGTGGGCTCCATCCAAGACAGCCAGGTGGGCAAGCTGCTGGCAAAGGGTGGCAGACAACTGCCCATGGGCCCACAGGCTCAAGAGCTTGGTGACCAAGCCACTTTTCTCAGCCTGTGCACCTTTTGTCAAGGGCTTGCCCTTCCTTTTTTCAAGCTCCAACTGGTGACCTCTCAATCTTTTAGCCTTGGGGAGGTCCATGATTTGAAGCACCCTCTTGTCAAGGGTTTTCTATGTTCTTTTGACAAGGACCTCCTTTTGTCAAGGACCACTGGCTTCTTGCTGGTTTTGCCTTTTGCCAAGGGAAAGAGATTCCTAACTAAATTGAGCCAAAAAGCTGCAGACATATATCTACATTTTAGTTAGGAAAGCATTCCCCATACATCAACCCTTTGGACCACCACAAACCTTTTAAGAACCCAAAAAACACAAAAACAACACCATTCCTCTTGAGGGTTTTTTGGGGTTATTACTTTACATCCTGGCTGTAAGCTGCAGCATTTTTTTTAACACACAGCTGGGTCTGTCTTGCAGCTGTTCAAAAACATGTGCACCAAGGGAGCCTTTTGCCAAGGCTGCTGGGACCTTTTTGCCAAAGGTAATGCAACTTTGCCGAGGATCACTTGGCTGTTCCTGCCTTGGAGTAGGCTTTGTTTGCCACAACTGAGATCTCCTTCTTCTGATCCTTCAGCTCCTTGCTCAGTGTGGTGGCATCCTGGATCAGACCTTTAGCTTTTGTCAAGCTAAGAGCTTTCTTCCCCTTGAGCAAGAGGTCTTTGCACTTCTTCTCCATTGCTTGGGCTTTGCTGAGCAGTGTGTCTGCATCCTTCTTGGTGCCCTTGCTCAGCCTTTGGCAGCTGGCAGCTTTTGCCATATCCTCCTGCAGATTGGCCTGGCTGCTCACCAAGAGGTCCCTAGCTTTCCTTGCTTTTGTCAAGCATGTGGACCACTCCTGGTCCTCTGTCTTATCATCATTGTCATTATCCTCATTGGGGTCACCATCTTCCAAAGCCAGTTGAGGCTGTCCTCTGGCTTTGCCTTTGCCCCTTCCCTTTGAGGCTGGCTTTCCTTTGTCAAGGCTTTGCCCTTCCCTTTGCCTTCCAGTTCCAGAAGGTGGCTGCTGAGGTCCTTGGTGAAGTGGCTGTCCCAAGCTTCTTCATTCTCAGCTTCATATTCCTGCCCCCAAGCATATGCATTGCTATGGGTGACAGTACTTGTTTTCTTGATGTCCCCCTGGTCTTGGTATTGGTAGCATCCCCCTGTCCATGGGTCTGCTCTCCACTTCACTCGGCCAGAGGCCAAGTGAAGCTCCAGCTCTTCTCTGGTAAATTTCTGCAGCATCTGAAGTTCTGACTCCCATGTTTCTCCTTTTGTCAAGGAGACACCTGAGTTCAACTCCTGCTTTAAGGCCATGAACTTGGGAGCCTCAGCCTTCAAGAGGCACATGGTGGCATAGATGCCAATTTCCTTCTTGGACATGTTTTCCACCTTCTTTGCTTCTGCTGGGTCATTTTTCATTTTGGTTTTCATTTTGGACCATGCACTTTGCTGCTCCTTGGGGGTCAATTGTTTTTTCAATGCTAGCGCTGCCTCTTCTGCAGTCTCAGCTCCTTCTGTGGCTTTCTTGATTCTTTCTTTCAGGCTTAGCTCCCCCAGGTCATCCAATGCTTTTTTGTTCAAAGCATTTTTCTGCTTTCCTTTTGTCAAGGGTGTGTCCTTGCTAGAACCTGCCCTGGTTTTAGTTTTAGCTTTGGCCTTGGCTTTACCTTTTGGCAAGGTTTTCATTGCAAATTTGCCTTTTGCCAAGGCTTTGCTCTTTTGGTTTCCTTTTCCACCTTTGCCCATTTCCCTTTGGCCAAGGGAGAAGGTGCACTAATACACTTTTGAATTGCTTGAGAAACAAAATGGCTGAGGTTTGGCAAACCTGATGCACCATCACAAACATTGCATGCTATGGGGCCTAGTAAATGCAAACTAAAGTAAATAATGTGTTGAAAATAAATATATATATATTGGACTGTTTGGATTGAACATATATGTTAAAAATAAAAACATATATTGGACTAGTTGGGTTGGACCAACAACTACAACATTTTCCAAACAATGAAACCACCATTTAAAAAATATTTCAAAAATATTTCAAAAAATATCAAAAAAATGAAAACTGATGAAATCTGATGAAATCTGATGAAATCTGATGAAATCTGATGAAATCTGATGAAATCTGATGAAATCTGATGAAAACATAGGTTTTCATCAGATTTCATCAGATTTCATCAGTTTTCATTTTTTTGATATTTTTTGACATTTTTTTCCCAATCCAAAATATTTCTGATTTTTTTTTGGAAACAATATTTGAGCCTTTTGTCAAGGCAATGTGCTGTTGATTACTTCAGAAACCACATGAAAACTGAATGCCTTTTGTCAAGGCAAAATGTGCTTCCAAAACTGAAATATGTTGTGTTTCCCTAGATCCCAAACCAATGTACACCTGAATTCATTGTGGTGGTTCCCAAAAATGTTTTGATGACAAATGGGTCCCTTGACAAAAGGGTTATTATACCCACTTATTATTTGATGAACCATTCAAAAATTAAAACAAATTACACACCTTTGAGGGGCTCCCAATCAAACACCCTTAGCCCAATTTTTTTTTGCTGCAATCCTGCCAGCATCCATGAACCTTTTGCCAAGGTTTCCCATTGCAGTGCCACAGCCTCTTGGGCCTTAACAAACATTGTGGACCACACCAGTATGTATACATATATATGTTTATGTATGTATAAGTGCTGTAGGAGATTTTATTTACTTACAACATTAGACTGTTTCAAAAAAAAAATCAAGAGGCTGTGGCAACTGCAAGGTTTTAAAAACCTAGGGGCATGTCTTTGCTTAGACCTGCCTAGACAAAATCTGTACAAGGGTGAAACATGCTACAACCTTTTGCCAAGGTTTCTTGTCCTTTTGTCAAGTTTCTTGTCCTTTTGTCAAGGTTTTTTTTCTATTGGTGCAACCTTTTTGTCAAAGGTGCTGCAGCAAGGAAGTCTTTTTGCCTTTTGTCAAGGCTTGGGAGGCTTTTGTCAAGCCTTTTGGTTTTAGATGCTTTTGCCAAGCCTGCCTGGGCCACCATTGGCTCTGCCCTTTTGTCAAGGGTTTTCCTCCTTGAGGATGTCAATGGCTGCAGCTGCAAAGTCAGAGAAGCAGCTTTGGAGCTTAGGCTGCCCCTTTTTCCTTCTCTGACCAGCAGGCACAATGGGGTAAGCCTGGATGCCAAACTGAATGGCTTCAGAACAAATTTCAGCATTGTCATCCACCAGCTTGCTTACCCCATTGTCCAGGCACCACTGGGCTTTCCCTTCCTTGCCACATTGCTTCCAGGTGAAGCTGACTGAGGCCCAGCCATTCCATTCAAACCAGGCCCAGTCATACACCTCATGGCTTCTCTTCCAGCCACAGTAGCTCAACAGGTGCACTTCATACCCTGCATCCTTGAGCTTCTGCAGCCATGGGGTGGCTGTGAGGTCATACAGGTTGTTATGCACCAGGACCTTGTGCCAGTCCACTGCAACCCTCTTGGGTGGCTGCTTTTTTGGCAAGCCCTTTTTGCCATCATCCCCTTTTGTCAAGGGGTCAGGGCTGCCAGGTGATGGTGTGCCAGAGCTGGCACTGGCACTGGAGCTACTGTTGCCCCAGTCCACACTCATTCCATCATCACTGCTCTGTTGGCTTGATGTTTTTCCTTTTGGCAAGGAATCATCTTTTGCTTTTGTCAAGCCTTTGCTCTGCTCCTTTTCCTTTGCTTGTTCCTTCTCTGAAGGGCCAAGTTTCTTTGACACCCCATCTTTGGAACCTTCAGGAGGGACACTTTCCTTCTGGGCCTTTTGGTCAGGAGCATCTTTCTTTTCTTGCTCCTTTTGGCCAGGAGCATCTTTCTTTTCTTGCTCCTTTTGGCAAGGAGTTTCCTTCTTGTTTGCCTGCCCCTTTTGGCAAGGAGTTGCCTTTTTCTTTGGCTGCTCCTTTGGGCAAGGAGTTTCCTTTTTCTTTTGCTGCTCCTTTTGGCAAGGAGTTTCCTTTTTCTTTGGCTGCTCCTTTTGGCAAGGAGGTTCCCTTTTGTTTGGTTTCTCCTTTTGGCAAGGAGGCCCTTTCCTGGGCTTTTTCCTGGATGGCCCAACTTCCACCCATCCAGCTGCTTGGCTGGCAGCTGCAGCTGCTTCAGCTGCCTGGGCAGCTGTCCTTGCTGCCTGCTCAGCAGCCTCTTCAGCCTGCTTCTTCATAGAAGCAGCTTTCTGTGCTTCCTTCTTGGCTTTGTCAGCCAAAGCAGCACTGTCCCCCAGGGCAGCTAGCCTGTCCCTTTCTTGGGCAGCTGCCTGGATCCTTGCCCTTCTGGCATGGGAGGTGGTGCCACTGCCAGTTGGCCTCCACTTGTTGTTCCACCCACCATCCCCCCATTCCCAATCATCATCATCCCACTGCATTGGGACAACCTTTTGTCAAGGTCCAGGCTGCTCACCTTTTGGCAAGGTAAAGTTTTTTTTTGTCAGTTCCAATCCCTTTTGTCAAGAGAAGTTGGTTCAAGTTGTTCCAGACCACCTAAGGGCCCACTGGTCCCAAAAAAAAAGCGCGAAAAAAAAACTCTCTAGCTTTTGAGCCAAAAGTCTGGGGTGGGACACATCAGGTTAGAAATGCTATCAGGAACCCAATTCAAAGTACCCCTTATAAATAGTTGAGGGTGCATTTGCTACAGCTATACTACACTATACCCCTACTGCAGCTGATGCTGCAACTAACACCTACTAGCTACTTAGCTGCAAGCCTACTACTACCACTACAACCAACAGATACAGGTGGTACAAAAACAAACAAAACACCAACATTGTTTCCATTACCTAGACAAGTACAACACCTAAACACATCCCCCCACCCAAGCTGCCAGCTCTTTTTGACACCCTTGAGGAAGGGCAGTGCACCAAGCCAGACCCTTTTTTGGGTAGGCATTAAACAATCCTTTTGTCAAGGAAAAGTAGTTCCTTTTGCCAAGGAACATTAAAAACCATTCCTTTTGCCAAGGAAAGCTATACCTTTTGCCAAGGAGCTTTGCTTCATTGTGCACAGCCAGTGCACAGCATTCAGCCTTTTGTCAAGGCATGCCATGCTGCTCAGCAGAGGCTTTCTCTGAGCTCCCTGCACTGCAGCTTGTCAAGGCCTTTCTTTTCAGCTTCCTGGTGGATGGTTTCAATTACCCTTTGGTACTGGATGGTTCTTTTTTTTGATACCTCCACCAGGAGCCTGAATTTTTCCTTGGGTGCAGACTGTGCAGTGATGTATGCCCTTTCAGGTTTCTTTGCATATGTCACCTTCAACTTATGCCACTTTTGGCCTTTGGGCTTCACTTCTGCCTGCACCCCTGCAGGTGACTTTCCTGAGCTGCAGGATGCAGCTGGTTTCCTCATTTTTGCAGTCCCTTTTGTCAAGGGTTTCTTCAGAGTTGCTGCTGGCCTCTTCTTTGCTTGTCCTTTTGGCAAGGCCTTTGGCAAGCCAATGGCTTTTGCCAAGCCTTCATCCTCATCTTCTTGGCCCCAGGCCTTGGAGGATTTGGCTGCCCTGGACCCTATCTTTTTCCTGAAGAAGGAAGTGTTCACTTTTGGCAAGTGCTCTTCATCTTCCAATTCTTCAGCAGACCTCTTACGTTTTGTCAAGGTTTTTTTGGCTGGTGGTGTTTTCAGTTCATTGGGGTATCCCTCTGAGTCCAGGGACATGTCATCCCTCATTCTTTCAGGCTCTTCCTGCTCATCTTTGTCTCTGATTTTGTCAACCAGATTCTGCAGCCTTTGGTAGTCTACAGATTTAAGCTTGGCAGCAGCTTTCCTCATCTCAGCATCATTTTTTAGCCTTCTGCAGTGAGCCATGACCACCACAAGCCTTTCAGTCTTGATGTTGGCCCAGACCTGCCCATTGAATTTTGAAGTGTTTAAGCTTGGCTTGTCCTTGGCCAAGGTCAGCAAACAGGTCCTGAGTGGACCTGAATGCACTTCGAAGGTGGCAGGGACCTTGACCAAGGACTCCAACAAGGCAATGATTTCCATCAAGCCACCTGGGTCAGTGGCTTGGTTCCTGGACACCAGCTCATAGGTGCCAAGGTCCTGTATCAAATCTTCATGGCAGCTCAGGCATTTGTACAAGACACCTTGGTCCACCATGGGTTTGGCAAAGTGTCTTGCCCCACCTTTGGACATCCTTTGGTCAAGGAATCTATACCTTTTGCCAAGGCTGCTCCCCCCTTTTGCCAAGGGTAGCTGAAACAGCTACCTTTTGCCAAGGGCCCACAAAGAAGTGGAAAGATCAGTGCATGTCCATGCATCATAAACATGGGTTCAAGTTCACATGCCAAAAAAAAGCAGGTGGCCAAAGGGGAAAAAAGAGGAAAAAAACATCAAAAATCAACAGGAAAATCAACAGGAAAATCAACAGGAAAATCAATATGAAAATCAATATGAAAATCAATATGAAAATCAATAAGGGTCCCCAAAAAAATCAACACAAAATAGATAAAAATATTGATTTTAAAATCAATAAGGGAAATATTGAAAATATCAATGCCAAAATCAATATTCAATATCAACAGAAAAATGGATGACTTTATTGATTAGG